CACGTCTTCCATTTTTGACGGTTGATGGGGGTCGTTTTTGGGGTCCTTTTGAGGGGTAAAGGGGGCGGGAAGGAAATGGGCATCCACGCATCTTTCGACTTTCATTTTTTTCCCACCATGTCAAAGAGGTTATTTTAGATTTATTGGAAGATCATCGACAACCTTTTTTCAGTGGATCGCTGACGACACGGCTCTGAAGATGGGACGGCCCCGCAATCTGTGGACCGATTCGGCAAGTGAGGGGCAATATTTCGAGAGTGCTTTCCATCACCCTAAGATTAGTGATTCATGCGTCCATTGCAGCGCCCACCGCACTTGACTGCTGATGCGGTCGCTTATCTAATCCTCGTCCACTGAAGCGGGGTCGAGCCGGGGGCATATGGCCAAAAATATTGATTCCCTCATGCCAGGTCATTTCTTTCCCATCCACAGCAACGTCCATCGCCAACCAAGTTCGCAATCCACTCCAACCGTTGACAGGGAAGACAGAAGAAAAAGAACCATCGTATTGCGCATCTGCAAGATAGACGCCATTGACCAACATCATCTCACCGTCTCATTCCGCCGCTACCGAATAAGCAGGGGCCGAGGCAAGAAACGAAGGAGAACCTTACTTTTGGACAAGGCTATCTCCTTTTTCCCCCCACCACACATAGCTGCTACCCTGCCTGTATCCCGAGATTTTGGTGGTACTGAGAGATTTCGTCGACAAGAAAGCGAGAGAGAGAGAGAGAGCAAGAGAAAGAGAGAACCGAGATCGAAGAAAGAGAACCAGGTTGGGGGCCACACTATTTGCAACTTTGCCGGGGCAGCAACTAAATCAAACTAGCGGACTTGGACTTTCATCCTGGACAAGCGACAAGCACGGATATCTTGACACCATGGACAAAGATCTTGACAATGCGAATCCGACCATCCTGAGCGCGGCCCAGATGCCGACGCGTCAGAGCAAGCGTGAAGCACCCAAGTCGGGCCCATTCCACAAGTTCGACGATGTCATCTTCGCTAAACCCTGGTACCTCTCGGAACCGTTCTGTGATGATGATTCACTGTGGTCTGAGCCGGAGGCCGATCACTCTCAGTGGACAGAAGAGCCCATTGATGAACAAGAAATCTACGGTGAGGAACCCTTCTTTCATACTGTCCCCCCCCCCCCTTTTCTTGCATGCAGTGGTTCACCTTACCAAGTATTGGGGGTTGGATGTTATGAGCTCCAATCCTGCCTGGTCCTGTTCCTGGAGTGTCTCAAGCACGGTCCTGTGTAGTCAGGCAAGCGCCACCTGATGCAGACCACCCACTCATCATGCTGTGTACTTCACCAAGTGGATGTTGCAGTTGCGCGGTGTCTTTGCTCCTTGATGAGTGGTGCCCAAAGATGCTTATCCTTCATGCATTGGCTTCAGATTTTACGCTTGGAATGCCATCTTTTCTGGGTGAACTCCTCCTACGCGTTTTCCGGCTATACTAAGTTCCTGGGGAGGATCACGCGACTGACGTTTCATAGACTTGATATCATCCATCTCAGACCCAGAGCACCCCCTCTCCCTAGGACAACTTGCTGTTGTCAACTTGCCTGATATTCACATTAGCCCTCCTCCACACATGGCCATGGACCCCAACAAGTTGGTCCAAGTGTTGGTCGAATTGACGCCAACCGTTTCTCACTGTTCTCTCGCCACAGTGCTTGGTCTGGGAGTTCGCGTGCGCCTCGAGAAGGCACTTCCTCCCAATTGGCGGGTGGATGTGAGGGTCAAGGAAAACGCGCACGCGCAAGACGATCAAGTGAACAAGCAGCTCAGTGACAAGGAGCGAGTTGCTGCCGCGCTAGAGAATGATACCCTGAAGGGGGTTCTGGACAAGATGCTCGAAACCTGCGTCTGAGTAGCGAATCAAATCTCGGATATACAGGCCGGGATCATACCCGTTTGATGCGAATCTCGGTGTCTTGTCATACCAAAAAGCGTGACGCCGAATATGGCAATGCCTTGGGACAAAATGGTCCGCCCACCGGCTCGCCCGACTAATCCGTCCGATGGGGGCCCAAGTCATGGAATTCAGCCCTTAAAAATAGACGATCGACATTCTGCACCGTTTTTTTACCAGGGCGTTTGCCACTTTGGCTGGAGAATTTATCGGATATCTGCCATGGAAAGACAACCTCTAACCCCGGCGTTTTGGCAGCTTCTCTCGAGGGAAATTGATCGACAGGTACACAGTGGGAAACGATGTCCATTTGCGCCTAAGCGCGGATATTGTAGCCGGTCAAAGAAACGTTACCTCGCCTCACACCCTCCACTTCAGGGCCCTTGGGAAAGTCGGAAAACAGGGGCCCAGCGGGATCGACTGGCAGCTCATGACTCTTTCAACCCGCGGCAAGACTCCGAGGTAGGGCTGTGCGGGCGGCGGAATTGTTCACACATATTGGCATAGCTTGGCCTGTGTGTGTTGGCTTGTATGTGGCAGCTGGTTCCCTTCTCTTTCATCTGACTCTTAAGCGCAGGCAAAAAGCCAGCAAGCTCTGACGATTCGGATTATCCGAACAGCTCGTCTGCATGGTACTAGCTGCTAGCAAAGGACCAAACGCAATGAGTGAATGGAACAACCAGTTTTTTTTTTGCCCCTACGACCTTGATTTGCCAGGGATGTATGTTCTTCTCTTCCTCTCAAAAGGCTTTCAGGTGGCTTCGTCACCTCACAATCTGAACCCCGTTCAACGTTGCGCATGGATGCAACGCTATATCAGAGAGCATATATAGACCGTTGATAAACACACGCGAGGTATCCGTACGGATAGCCGATCAAGATACAGAGCACATCCCTGACGCCGCTTACCGCGACAGCCGACGTTGCTTACCAATCTGAAGGGTCCAGGACCGCGCCACCGATGGAGGGGAAAGTTCAGCAGAGCTTTTACCGAGCGAGAGGTCTACCTAAGCTGGTCGTGACCGGTACGTAGCCTTGTAGGTGTTGGTGTGGTCAATTAAAGGTCAGGAACCATCGGATGGATGGTTCTGACGTATGAAGATCTGCAAATATTGATTTTGTGGCTTTTTTCTCTGCAACTTGCTAGGTAGTCCTCGGGCCAAGAAAAAAATGTCTCTGAAGAGAGGACTTTCGATTAATTGATAAACCCATTTCTATAGTAAACCAAGTTTTTTGCGTTGTATGATTGCATTCGTCTCCCCTGAAGCGGCGAGGTGAACAAGAAACTTGCCATGGCGTTACATTGTGGCGCTCGACTTGACAGCATTTGAACGTTTCCCCCTTCCCTGCCGCTCCCCTCCCTCAACGAGAAGGGACAGGACGGCGAAAAGGGACCTTGAAGTTATTCATATTCGGCACTGGCAGAACTGGGGGCAGCTTGTTGAACGAGGGTGTCGTACGTGAAGCTCAGCGGGAAAATTCGTGTACCGGTCTCACGGTTTTTGAGAGGGGGGCATCCTCCTACCTAATCAAAAAGTTGATTCTTTTTCCCACTTCAAGCGAAACTCTAAAGATGAGCAGAACATGAGCAAGCTGCTTACTGTGCAGCTTGAAGCTTTTGCCTTTTTTTCCCTTCCATCCTGCCACCTGAACTCTACCGATCCCACAGAATATACGGAGTACTAGGAACGAATGACAGGACCTGGTAAACGGAATCGAAGGCTCGCCCCCGGCGAGCAAGGCATGGTATTATTACATGGCACGGCATGGCATGGAGACCTGGGTTCGATTCGGTGTCTCGGTCGGACAAGACACAGCATACGAGCTACAAAATCGTTCAATTTATCCGGTGCCGGCGCCGCGGGAGCTAGGAGGGGTGGTCGTCAACCTGAGGGGTTCGGTCATTGGGCCGCTGGGGCGTAGTGTAGATGCGGCAGGAAGACCACCGCATCTCCTACGGCCGTTGGTGAAGATCTTCTTCCTCCGGGAAGGGGAACAAGGTATCTCACACCCAAACCTCGTAGGAAGAATTTCACATACTCGCGTTCCCCCCCCCCCCCGCGTCGTCCAGATCTGCCCGAGCCTTCCGTGGCCCAAGCTCTCTGGATCACTCACTGTCTTGCCTACCCGTTCCTTTTTTTCTTTTTCTCTGAATGTCTATCTGCGGAATCACGGAAACACACGTGTTGTGGTGGCACGATCTTCGCGCAAGTGGTCCTGTGCCCGACACCCCATGTCCATGTCTCTTGTCGTTTTCGTTGTCGATGTCGGTGGTGATGACATTGACAACGTTTGGTCTTGGCGAACCTCGTAGACTTCGTCAAGTTCAACGGCAAAAAGGCAAAGACGAGAGTTTCCTCTTGGCGCTTATTCTCTTCGGGCGTTGTGTTACATGGCATTGTGTGAACGACCAAACGGTCGATATCTTTGAATTACCAAAATGGGCAGGAGAGCTGTGGTTCCGTTGAAAGATGCGTGTAAGTCTAGAGAGGTCTCATGTCACGCGTCACGCTATGACGAACGTCTCTGATGAGATCGAGAGCTTCGAGGCGGGAAGGTCGCAATGGGAGGCGGCAGCGCGGGATATCTTGCACATGTCACTAGTCGTACCAACGGCCGGCCTCATCATCTACGTTTGACAGCAATCTTCTGCATGATTTACCATCTTGTGATTGTGACAGCGCGAGGCGTTGTGACGCAACTTTCCGACACGTGTGCTTGACAGCGTAGAATGCCAAGACAAGAGCTTCCCTTCCCCAGCTCCCTATTCCAGAAGCTGGGGAATTCTTGAGGAAGAGGCCCCTTCGACTACTCGAGAAAGGAAGTTACCAAGAAAATTGTTGAGAGATTTGGGGGTTCATGGGGGAGGCAGGGGGTTGGTTGACGGATGGGTGAGATTCTGCTGCGTACTGTGGTATGTAGTTGCAGTGCAGGTTCAAGGTAAAGAGGGTAGGCAGGGTGGGTTTCGAAGCATGTGCCGAAAGGTTCGTCACAGCAGGCGCTTCAAACTGGGCAGGTAGGGTGAGTACCCTCAGACGAGCTAGCTGTTTCTATTCACAGAGCCCACACACTCACCCTCACCCACACTGTTGCCTTCTTTTTCCCCAGTTTCCGGCAGGTGATACGGTACTGCTGGTGGTTGGGTCAGGCTGGGGTTTGGCGGCAAGGGTACGGAGTAGCGGGAGGGTTACGTTGGAGAAGGGGGAAGGAGGGGCAAGGGAAAAGCAGGAGGAGGAAACATGGTGGTAGTGGTGGTTGGCAAGAACAACCATAGCAAGGAGAACTTCCCTCTAGATCTTTGGTACACTAGAAGGAAAGTGTGCTTTGGGTGTCAAGATATGTATGTACGTCGGCTGATGAGCGTGACTTGCAGCAATGGGGTTGTAGAACGAGGTGTGTGCGCATGTGCGTGTATGTGACTACCAGTGAGTACCAGTAGGTGTGTGTCTCCTTGCATATTGCGAAGCAGCATCATTTTGCGAGGTGTGGCGGCAAGGCGGTGACGGGTTGTTGATGGATGTGTGGTTTTCCCCCTCGTCGTGTTTGTTGACCAATTGCCTTTTTCGCAAGGTTCGAGACACGCATTGGCTCCTATCTTTACATAACAGGGACAATGGCATACATTTTCCTTTCCAGCCCCTTGGCCACTAGGCCTTTGGCGTGTAGCCTGGGGGAATGTGGAAAGACGACTCATTGCAAATTGCTCTCCCATCACTACCTTAGTCAGATACACACTATCATCCATGATATCGTCGCTCTCTCTGTGTGTTCCTCTGATCTTGCGACTCGGTGAGGGAGTCGCCAAGGCGTACGAAGTAGAATGAGGGCAGCAAAAGCATGGCATCGGCCGGCCGGAGCCCGCCGATCCCCTTTCTAATCCTGGATCCAGCCCAAAGTCCACTTGTCACGTCCTTGAGAGTCTCTATCTCTCTCTCCCTCTATCACTTATCCTGACCAAGCCTCAACTAAGGGTATTAGCTCTGTCTTCAAACAGAGTCTAAAAAGCACACTATGTATCGGCAATAGAGAGAAACGCGCCGGTGCGGGTTCTTAATGTTAACTCCGATCTCCAGGTTACGGCAGTTTTAGCAAAAAATAAAAGAGGGACTAAGAGGTTTGTGATGGAACTAAAACACCGTCCGGTTTTTCCTGTAGGTTTGGTCCTTGGAGGGGTTCAACAGGGTTGAGCAACCATAAGGTTTGGGGCGTCCTTTCCTTTCCCGCCCCCCTTTCACCACCCGCGGAATGGGATTTTTCAACGTTTGCACCTTTTCCTGACCATGCAGGAGAGGGAGAGGCCCGTGAGGATACAGGCGCAGGCTGGCGGCACGACACCACACACACACACACACACACATACACACCAAGCACTTCCTCGTACGTACGGATACAGTACCTACACACGGACTAGGTCGTTCCCTTCTTGTCCCTAAAAAGAATGTTGTATGCGTTTGTTCTACCGCAGACGCTCGCAGACCAGACCACAGTACTCTGCAGACACCACCCACACATGGCCCCTTTGTCAGATCGACTTGGCGTTGAACACACATACATCACCTACGGAACTACCGATGTTGTTGTGGCGAAGCAAGGAAAAAGGTTCGGCGAGTCAAACAAGACGCATCGCATCACGCAATAGCCGCCGTCGCATGAGCCTCTTGATTGTGTATCACGTGTACGTCTTACGCAGTTTTCTTCCTTGACACAAGTCCACGCATGAGGCTATAGAGTATGACGCGCAAGAAGGGGGAAGTTCCAAAAGTTGGCATGATGGGCTTTACGATAAAGTTTGGCCCCCAATGGCGTCGTCACCTTGACGAGGAACAAGATGGAAAAGATGAGAGCGGCGATGTTGAGCTGGTCCATCGTGTCTGATCTCACGGCAAAGAAAGCAAGGGAGTAAGTAAGTAACTATATTCGCGTACGGATATTCTTTACCCGCACGCGCGCGCAGCCATGTGGAATGCAAACTAGATTCAGGTCGCCGAATGCTGTGTAGTTGAAGGGTCCCCCTTTCCCCCACATGGCTCGAGATGTCACCGTGTCAAGGCATCATCAAAAGGGATCCGCTTCGTCAGAATTCATCAGCAAAACTTCCACTATCCGTGCGCTAAATTACTTGTTCACCCTTTCTCCTTGCGTTCGCTCGCGTGGCTTAGAGTTGGGTGATCGAAACTTTACCCAGGGGGGGAACCGCCGAGCCGTTCGCGACGACCGCCGCCGCCGCCGCCAATGGAACTTTACTACCGTATCCCGTATGGTACCCAGCGGCAATTGGGCCACCACCACCTCCACACTTTGCAAGTTTCCCGGTTCTAATGGCAACACACTAAGACGACCAGATACCGGCCGAGATTTTGCCAGTAGCGCAGTGGGTGCCGTGGTGTTCCGCAATGCTGCTATGCGACCTCAGTGGGGTCTTTTCAAACGGAGACCTGTTCTGATCCAAAGGGACTCTGAAGGTTCATCCGGGATTTTCCCTTGTGTGTTGTCGAATAAATTAGATTGGGATGTGGGGGTGAGGAAGAGGGAGGAGGCTCCCATCTTCTGCATGCCTTTCCTTGGTGTCTTGCTTGATTGGTTGGTACAGTACTACCGTATGTAGTAGTGGTGGATTGGTGGCATCCGTAGCTTGGAAAAAAAAGTAGGGCTTTAGCTACAAAACGGTCGCGGGGAGGAGAGGTACGTCTGGCGGTGACAAGTTTGACAACGAAACAGTGTTCCAGCAGCTTGTTGTTCTGTTAGTTTTAGAGCTGATCCCCGTCGGCTACAGCCGCTCCAACGGGCGTCCTTCGGTTGTTGACATGTTGATCATTGAGATGCCAATCTGTGTCAATCTTTGTCCCGTTCAAGGGGTCATCAACGACAGGCCCGCATCCGGGCCTAAGTATGCAGGTGGTGCTGTATGTGTGTCTGCCCCCCTCTCCAGAGAAGCCTCGGTGTATTTTCTGAAAGTCCGGAATATGGTCGGTGTGTGCTGCTGCTTGTTGGTGCCGGGGTCTGATCCACTCCAAGGTGAGATGGCTGGGAAGCTTGCAAGAATGAGCTACTATGGATACAGATACAACCTGAAGGACCGGGAGACGTGAAGAGAGAGGGATGAGACGGTGGGCAAGATGGGGCGATGTACGAATACAATGATACTCTAGGTATGGCAAGAGGGGGAAGAAGGAAACTCCGCACTCAACTTAGTTACTGTGGTATCCGTTGTAGGTACTACAGATAGGCACTTGGAATGCAACGGCGGGGAGGCTGGCTGCGATGGGCCGGCCGAGGGATGGCGAGGTAGCTCTCAAGGAGTTCGAAGCTCCTCCCTCCCCCTTCCGGGTTCCGGGTTGGTTCGCAGTAAGCTTTTCAGTGGAGGGATTTTCTTTCCAACTGCACCGCCGTTCGACGACCCCCGGTTCGATCGGCGTTCCGTATGGCCGGCCATGACGATTGGGATTTGGGGGAGACGCGGGATTTGAGGACTCGCTTGTCGGGGAAGTCGGATCGGGGATCCCAGGTTTTACGGCTTTTGTTCTTCAGTGTCACGGATGGTTTTCCGTTGTATATTTCTATTGGACGTTGTAATGTGGCACGTATCCGAGGCGTGAGATCTTCTCCCGCTCGAAACTTGTATTCTCAATGTAACTTGGACATTTGGTTCAACGACATTGGGGCAGTGCTGTCTTCCTTGCATCTGTAGTTTGACTACCATGACAGAGTAGATGCTGTCTTTCCCTGGACTCCGTTTGAAAAGGTCTAGCCCGCGCCGATACTTTCCCATATCGAAATCGAAGAAATGCCATCGGCCCTTTTTTAGAGGGGAGACCTAGTAAACTGGGCAAAAAAGTTGCGGGATACCGCTGATCCAAAGTATCAGAACGATTGGAGGGGGTGACTCTGGGATTGTCACATAGGTTTCGCTTTATTTATGGGGTTCTTGTCGGGGGGGTGTTGTTTGGTTCTGCAGTGTTGGTATGGAGCTTGTTTCACGACAGTTGGATCTGCCAAGGGCATATTCACCCCCGCTCTCGAGATATGTTACGGATGTGAACATCTCCGTGCTGTCAACTCTTGTCATCTCATGTCTATGGAGTATGGACCATGTTAAGGAACGGTTCAACTGGAGTATCTGAAGGACGGTCATGTGGCTGAAGGCGCAGGATTATTGCGGAGTTCCCACGTTTACATATGCCTCTTCGTGAGGTAATCATATCTCATGCCAAGTCAATGACACGTCTAAGACGGTACTCAGAATGAACAGGAAAATATCATACCTCAGAACACGCTGGAGCGGAGGACGATACCTTGAGGGTTTGTCTAAGGTGCTGGCCATCAATGTTCTCAGTCACTAATGGCATCACAGGCCAAAACTATCAATCAGGGTAAAAGGGCTCACCGCGCTGATTCACAAGTCTATCATTGCAGTCAGCTCGGAGCCAAGCCGCCCATGGGAATTTCCCACATCCAAGAGCCGATGTCGAACGATCGTCATGAGCAAAATGATTCTGCATCTCGCGTTCTTGGACCTGTCTCGACCGGAGACAAATCTAAAGCGGGCAGGCTATACACGGCCTCGTAGTTACGAGTGTAACGTGGACGTATGGTCGCCGTGGCTTTGCAATATCTGCAAGCTTCATGGTCTCGATTCTTTGCCAAGAAAGCTTCTCGGTGTAGATTCAAGACGCCGAGAGTCTGGAAACCAAACATTGTACCATTCATTGCCTTGTTTCTCATACCAAGTCGATGCAAGACAAACCTCAAGGTAGGGCCATCGGAAACTTGTCATTCGCCAGGCAGCAAGGACATCATGAGGGCACATCCTAGGTTGATACTGTCGGGATGGAGAGGCAGAGTCCTCATTTGCACTAGACGATGGATTTCTGCTTGACTAATCCGTAGGTCTATCCCGTCATCTACGTTGAATCAGGTGAATGAAAATTGACGAGAGCAAAATCGATGTAAATTCGATGTGAAGTTGCCTACGCAAAAATGCCTCACCGTTTCTAGAACCTAACCTCTCACTACTCACGTCACCAATAATCCACTGGAAAAGTAAGACCTCTGCATCTGCAATTTGCTCTCTTAGATTCCTTTCGATTTTGATACAGAATCCAACGCGAGAACTTTCCGGCTCTGCGAGCTCGCTAGATGGGTCCCTTCCGGCCCGAGAAACGCCAGCAAGGATCCGGTTTCTCCGTGTCCCGAAAATTGGCCCAGATCGTCTAGTTGGTTAGGATGATACGTTGTGGTTCTTCTATACAGCGATCCGTGTTGACGGCGGTTCGAATCCGCCTCTGGGCAATTTCGCTTTTGTTATTTTGGAAAATTTGTTTCTGCAAGTAAAGAGAATCATCACCGTAACTTTTTCTCTCTTTGGATCATCCGGAGTCGATGGCTATGCTGTCTTGCTCAAACGTGTGGGGTTGGGAAACTCACTCGACAGAACGAACTTTGGAGAACATGCATGCATGATGGCTAAGGTAGAAGCGACTGACTGACCGCATGCAAGCCCGCTGAACATAAAAAACCTTTCTCGGAAAGTCTATGATTTACATGTAATAATTCAACCTAGTGTGGGGGGAAGCTATTCTGAGCACCCGGGCATGAGCGAGTGCTTCGACGAGACACACAGCAAGTAGATGGACACGGCAAAGCCGCACACGTATTCTTCTAATGCGGGCTCGTCCGGCGCCGGACGCCGATCCGAGCCCCCTCGTCTTCGGCCACCGGTGCCCGCAAGGTCCCCGAAGGCAGACCACCTTCCAGGATGGCATGAGGAAGAACTCGAGACACGATCCCGCCAACCCCCCCCCCCCCTCTTTACCCCCTTCTCTCTCGAAGGAGGGATACAGAGTACATAGATTGGGGGAATTGAAACACGCCCCCCTTTGCACACACCATTACGCCCTCATTCGCCTGGCTGGTCTAGACCCGCGTCTTCAAGCATGGGCACTGGAGCGGGGAATAGTAAGTCTACGAAACCAGACACCATCTTTTCTTAAGTTAGAAAGGTGAAAGACGCTCGTTCCCCTGTTTTTTCTCAGCAGTTTTTGATATACACAACGGCCCGAGTTGTCTCATGGCTGGCTCATCTATTCGCAGATGCCCACAAACCTCGCTGCCTCATCACATGTGAGCCCATTCGCTCTCCATTCTCTTGAGCCCTTGTTTGGCGACTTGCATGGCTACTGGCCCACAAGCAAGCGCCTGACCGTATTGTCTCAACAGCCGCATCGTTAGAACCGCTGACCTTGCTACATTCCTGCATACTGCTGCTCTCCCACCACACGCTACTGAATAACCCTTTAGTCGCCAAGAGCGCCACTCTCCATGAGGCTTTGGTAGAACTCAGGCTCCAGGAATGTTGCCACGCTCACGTCCTCGCTGAGACCCTTTCTCCTTCTCGTCTTCAGCACAAAGTCTCTGGCCGTGGCTTGTGCACTTGCCGGCTGCAGCGGCCGCAGAATAACCTCCTTGTCGAGAGGATCACCTGGCACAATGCTCCAACTGTCAAACGTCAAGCTGACCATGGCCATGCCCTTGGTCTTGATGCGCAGGTCCGTTTCGAAGCCAAAGGAGTCGATGACAGGAATCAGACCGTTGACGCGATAGAGAGGCGTGCCGGCCACAGGTCCATCCTGAAGGACGTGACCACGACGTCTAGCCAACGTTGTATAGACCTCTGTTGCGGAGTCCTCAGGGCCAGTCACAGAGACAGAGTACAGAGGCTCCATCAGTCGAGGGGAGGCCATCAGGAACGAAGAGTAGCAGGCCCGCCTGGAAGTGGGGATGATCTGACCGCCTCCCCGGAAGATAGCTTCCGACGCCAACGACACATCCGTGATCCTGAACTTTGTATTTCGAATGGCTGTAGCGAGCAGGTATCGTTAGCGGTTGGTTACCGGTGAGAGAGTAAAGGTTGGGGAATGGCCTGATGTGGGGACTAGATATCTGCTAAGGGCCGTGCCCCCATCCCCGGTCAACCACAGCCCCCTCCTAAAAGGCATGGTTGTTGAATGAGGTCTCGTGCGCAGAAGCAGGTTTTTGTTTTGACAGGTCGGGGTAAGATGAGGGGACCATAGTCTCGCTGCGAATGCAAGCCATGCCCAAAAACCCAACCCCAACCCCGGTCCCATGTGTGTAGGACCCTCCCGGGAGCTAGTCCCGCCTGCTTGGGGACCAATGGCAGGATACCAGGAAGGTTCCAAGGACAAGACAATAGACAGGAGGCGGATGCTAACAAGGGGTAAGGGAAATAAGGACTCACGTTCTTCGCACAGGGGCCCTTCTCTAGTTGCCCAGCTGAAGCCTTGGCGAATGGTTTCCTTGACCGTCGTCAAGAGCTTCTTGTCGACCTGGAGTTTTGTTAGCCCATTGCCTATTTGTCTGAAAGTGGAGGGAGGAGACATTACCTCTGAGGGCAACGTGTCGTCCTGCAGAATGTTAGGGCCCATCTCATCGGGACCAAATGCCCAGATGCTTCTCGCTGCCAGCTTGTCCCAACCATAGGTGTCTTCGAAGTATTTGGCTGTCTTGCGAATAGGGTCCTTGATCTTGACCTTGCCTGACTCAATGTCTTCCGAGATGCCCTTATCTAGCTGCTCGGCAACCATCGTAATCTTGTTCTTCTTGTTCGGCGTGATGGCGTAGCATTTGGTCGCTGACTGCTCAACGACTGTCTCGCAGAAGCGAGTTACTGGATCCGAAATCTTAATCTCCATATCGGCGTAGAGGCGTCTAAGGTCATGGAGAACACAGTCCATGTACAATTCGCCAGTGCCCAAGACGATGTGTTCTCCCGATTCCTCAACCTTCGTAGTAATGAGCGGATAGCTCTTTTGGATTTTCCGCAGACCGTCAAGCATCTTGGGTAATTCTGACGGGTTGATGGGCTCGACGGCTACCTTGAGTACAGACTCGGTGAAATGTGTGACAGGCTTAAAGATGTAAGGATCCTCATCATCTTCAAGCTTCGGCGGGATGAGTGTTGCCGTTTTGACGATGGAGTTGTCGACTCCACCGAGCAGTACGAAATTGCCCGCCGGCACGCCGTCCGTCGGAATGTTATACCTCGACTCTGCGATGAAGACGTCAGAAATCGTTGCCATAGCCATGTCTTCGTCGTCATCTATCGAGTACCCCTCTCCAAGAACTCGGACTTGCGAGCCAGGATGAGCTGTGCCACTTAGCACGCGACCAAACGAATAAAAGCTCTTGGCGTCTGCGGTGCTGAAAAGTTTTGTTACGTGAATTACCAGCGGACCGTCTTGGTTGCAAGCCTTCATGGACTGAGCCAACTTCGTATCCAGAGGGCCAGTGTAGTACTTTTCCAAGTACTTCTCCGCAGACTGGTCAGGTGAAGGGATGTGGCCTACGATCATGTCGACGAATCCTGTTGAGGGACCGAAGAACTGCTCGCAGACCAGTTTTAACAGCACCTTAGCGTCAGCCTTGTACTGAGAAGGCTTCAAGGTGATGCCGAGGCTGCCCAAGACAATCTTCAATTCCTCTGGGCTGTCGCTGATTGTGTGCGTAAAGATCTTGTAAATAGGCTCCAGAACGAAGTTGACAAAGGATCGGCTCGATCGTGGCTCTAGCGGCTTGCGGGTGAAGTTTCGTTTCTCGGGGTTGAAGTAAATATCGCCCCATAACCTCTTCGCGAAATCCTCGGTGTTGATGCCGCCGTACGTGTCTGCGTACATCTTCGCGAATGACTGCAGGGTGAAGCACCACCCCATGTCCGTGCAAGCAAAAAGAACATTGCCCTTCTCGGGGCTTATCCGTCTTTCCTCGCCCTTGCCCGGGATAGTGTTTTCGATTACCGTGTTGACCTCCTCGATGACGTGCTTAAGCTTGAAGTAGGCATCCTTGGGCGGCAGCTTCAGCTCCAAGATGAGGCGGTCCATCTTGTTGACAATGAGCGTCAGCGGGATATCCTCCAGAACAGCATGCTTGATGATTTGCTCCGTGTTGACCTGAACGCCCTCCACAACGTCGACAACCAGACAGACTCCGTCGGCTAATCTCAGACTGGCTGCGACCTCATCAACAAAGTTGACGTGGCCGGGGGTATCCAGAATGTTAATCAGATGGGATTTTCCTTTGGAACTCGGAAGAACCAAGCTCATGGGCGAAGCCTTGATCGATACGCCTCTTTCCCGTTCCACAACGTGGACGTCGGTATATCTCAGCTGCTCGTCTCTCTTCTTGCCGACCCGGCGCTCGAGCCTGTCTGTGATATCATGGGTTTCCAACACCAGCATATCCATAAATGCCGTCTTTCCGTGATGGAGGTGTCCTGCCAACGCAACATTCCGTATTTGATCGGGGAAGTTCATGAGGTCTGTCATGAAGCTGCGCTCAAAGAATACGGGTGGTAGGTCGACCTCTTCGATGTTGAACTTCTTCTGCTCGACGGGCGCTATGATCGGCTGCGAGAGCAACTGCTCATCTTCCTCTCGTACAAGGACTTCGACTTCATCTCCGTATACTTGCTGTGCCGTCGGGTAGTATTGTTTGTCCTCGTGCAGAATGATCGCATTTGATGGGCCATCATCTGTTCCCCCAGGTTAGTTAACTTCCATCGGCGCAAAAGCAAGATATACATGCCGTCAATTTCCATCAATTCTTGACCAGTGGGTGCGGGCGCCTCGCTAGCATCATCGCCGTAGACGTAATCGCCCTCCGCCCCTCGTTCAGACGCCTCTTCAGAGCCGACATCCTCGCCGATGAAGTTACCGAACCTATGATAACAATTGTCAGTCGAACTATATTCTCGGCCAACATAATGATATGTTTACTTACTCGTCGTATAAATCATCCATCTTGGCGTCTAGGGGTGCAGGAGATGAACTTTTTGTCGTGGGTTGCTAGAAGCCTGCTGAAATTCTAGTCCACGCGCAGTCGCGTTCCCAGCATGACGGCGGCGCAAAGTTTCTGGCAAGGCTACATTGTGGCTAAATCAGAAGTGTGGCTGCAAGGCTGAGTGGCTGAAGCTAAGTCAATTGGTCGCACGGCCAACGCTAGTCAAGCAGGTACAGTGGAGCTTGGGACAGGGGACCTCCGACAGAGAGCTACCTTACCTACTGCGCCACAAGGTCCCAGCTGTGGACAAAGCCACCGGAGCGGTGCAGGGTCGGAGCAACCCCACCAAACATCCAAAAAGGCGGCGAGGGGTGATTGGAAGCAGCTCTTTCTGATTAGTGACACTTGCCCAACAAAAAACTGTTTACTTCCTTCTCTCTTCACAGTTAAGTAGGAACGGTTCCCGGCTCATCCTTGAAGAAACTCTCCTTCTTTCATCCAAACCCAAACATCCAACATATCCACCTTCAAAATGGCCAACCTTCCCCCCGTCTACATCGTCTCTGCTGCCAGAACCCCCGTTGGTTCTTTCTTGGGGTACGAATAAGCTCACTCGACAATATTATCTTGACCGCTTGACCGAGAAGCTAACGTACTATCTTCTCTCAGTTCTTTGTCTAGCCTGAGCGCCACGCAGCTGGGTGCTCACGCCATTAAGGGTATGTAAATGTCTTATCAACGGTCCGAGACGCGGGGCAAGCTAACATTTACCCCTCCACAGCTGCTGTCGAGCGAGTCCCCCAGATCAAGCCCGAGGATGTCGAGGAAGTCTACTACGGCAACGTCCTGTCCGCCAAGTACGTCTCACGCACATATGAAGGGTTATAATTACCCATACAATGTTTACGTATTCTGACCGAAAACCAGCCTCGGCCAGGCCCCCGCCCGCCAATGCGCTCTCGGAGCTGGCCTCTCGCAGGGCGTCGCCGCCACGACCGTCAACAAGGTGTGCGCCTCGGGAATGAAGGCCATCATCCTCGGTGCCCAGACTATCCTCACTGGCAGCGCCGACATCGTTGTCGCCGGTGGCACCGAGTCCATGTCCAACACTCCTCACTACCTCCCCGTCCTCCGCAACGGCGCCAAGTATGGCGACCAGACCCTCGTTGACGGTGTCCTCAAAGACGGTCTTACCGACGCCTACGGCAAGAAGGAGCACATGGGCATGTCCGCCGAGCTCTGCGCCAAGGAGCACGAGTTCACCCGTGAGCAGCAAGACGAGTACGCCATCAAGACCTACCAGAAGGCTCAGGCTGCCACCGAGGCCGGTGTCTTCTCCAAGGAGATTGCCCCTGTCGAGGTCTCCGGCGGCCGTGGCAAGCCCGCTATCAAGGTTGACCGCGACGACGAGGTCAAGAACCTCAACATTGACAAGCTCAAGGCCATGCGCCCGGCTTTCATTCCCAACGGCGGCACAGTCACCGCCCCTAATGCCGCTCCCCTCAACGACGGCGCTGCCGCTGTTGTCCTCATGTCCGAGGCCAAGGTGAAGGAGCTCGGCGTCACCCCTATCGCAAAGATCCGCGGCTGGGCCGATGCCGCCCGCGAGCCCGAGCGCTTCACCATTGCCCCCGCGCTGGCCATCCCCAAGGCCATCAAGCACGCCGGCCTTACTGAGAAGGACGTCGACTTCTACGAGATCAACGAGGCGTTCTCCGTCGTTGCCCTCGCCAACATTAAGCTCCTGAACCTCGACCCCGAGACCGTCAACGTCTTTGGTGGCTCCGTCGCCATCGGACACCCCCTCGGCTGCTCCGGCGCTCGCATCGTCACCACCCTTTCGACCGTCCTTCGCGAGAAGAAGGCCAAGATTGGTGTTGCCGGTATCTGCAACGGTGGCGGTGGTGCCTCCGCCATTGTCATTGAGAGCCTACAATAGACGGACACTCAATTGCAGCAGAATTTCAAGATTCCCCCTCTCCCAAAAGTAGAAGTCTCGGAGCTCCGAGTTCGTACGGTCCAAATCAAGTAATTGGCAGGAACGTGGGGCCGTGACCCCGTCGAGCACCCACGTACACACGCGCAGAGTCAGCGGCTTTGCCGCATGTGACGCTGGTGGTTGTGCAGACTGCAGAAGACTTGACGCACACCACTTTTTGTTTTTTGGTCTCGCGTCATGGTACCTGAGCCGATGGGCGGGCTCCAAGACTACTGAAGGAAAATTTAAAAACCTCAAAAGGACAAAAAAGACAAAAGTATACCAAGTTTTAGATATAGCGCAATGGGCGGCCATTGCAGATCTTTTTACCTAATATCACGAATCCGACGACCGCAAAAACTTCTTCCTTACCACACCTTACCTAGAGACTAAGACCACAAGTGCCCACTTGGCTGCCGTGATTTGCGTCTTTTTCTTGCGTTTTTCTGCGCTTCCTCATGCACCGTTCTCGGATAGATCCTGGGAGATTTGACTGATTAGATGATCTGATAAGATCCACCCGTGTTACATCTTCGGCCCCTCCTAAAGAAGAATTTACAAGTAGACAAATGGAACTGTGGCTGTGTCAATTCCCCATTTCCTGCACTACCTACTTATTGCGTTGTGAAGAAGAGACTTTTGCGGCTTCGTGCATAATTAACGCGGTGGCCGAAGCGTCGACGCCGCGACATCGGCCCCGAAGGTGTGGGACTTACTTCGCTACCCGATGCCATGTAAGGTACCTGGGACTTTTGAAGTGACAAACAGGTACAAAGTTTGAATCGAGATTTTATGCTTGCAAGACCTTTTTTATTTTGCGCAACTACAATTATTGTACATTTGCAGGAAAGAGAAGACTGAAAAGGAATGAGTCGCAAAAGGAGGCGCAACTCGCTCTCTCTCATGATGAATGTCCGTGAAAAAAGAGAGAATCGTCTGCCAAAGCCTCCCCACTCTACTCTTCTTTCTGCAATCAGGTCGAAAAATTAGGAAAAAAAGGAGTCATGTAACGCCGAACCTTTCCCACGCCGTTCCCATGCCAACCCGTTCCACGGATTCAACGATCGTGGTCAGGGCATCAAGAGAAGACCAAATCCATGTAAAGTTGGGGTAACATGGCAGCCATGCCGCTCTGCACCGCTATGCCGCCTGGTATCTTCGTAATTGTGAACTTTCAGCCTTCGCCCATCTTGTCTCCGATCTCACACATGTTGCCAACTTCTTTGCCCGCGCCACCTATAAACGCCGGTTCCGCTGGATCACCACTTCACTACTCTGCGGTGTCCATTGCGTCCCCTGCGTCCGAGGCGGGTGCGATGCCATCCTTGAGCCACTTTGACCATCCCTCGTTGGACTTTTGTACGTCGGACTGGCTCATGCCCTTCATCCAGGGGCTGTTGAAGACAAACTTCTCGCGAAGCTTCGTGTCGCGCTTGTTACTCGCATTCTTGAGCCTCTCGAGGTGTCGCTCCTGGCCCTCCTTGTCCTTGGGAACGTTGTCGTAGACAAAGTACTCAGATGTACCAGCCTTCCACACCATCTTGCTCGAGTTCAGACAGATACTGATGGAAAGGTCTTCATCGAACGAGATGGGCTTGGGAATGTGGCTGTCCTCAAACTTCTCGTCGCTAGAAGGAAGATTGCGGGCCAACACTGTCTTTTGGAGCTTGTGCCGTGGCACACCTTCTGTCGGCTCGACTTGGATGAAGGACGAGATGTAGTATTGCCAGCGATCCTTGGCCTTCATCTCATCCATGTAGAAGGTGGTGTCTTCACGCTGCAGCCAACGGACAGAGGCTTCCGATTTGAGCGGGAACTGTGAAATGTGTTAGAAACAAGATAGAGAGAGAAAGTGGTGTTCAAGTGGACTTACCCAACAGATGACAAACATCTCGCCGTCCTTGACGCACTTCTCTGCGTACTTGCGGGCAGCGATCTCTGACTGGTAGTTTGTCTCCTCCTTCTCTCGGCTGTGGAGGTACTGCTGAATGAGGTCCGGAGTCTTCTCCTTCGCATCAGTGCTGCTGCAGGTGAGAGCGAGACGGCACAGAGTCTTGAGGAGGTCCTGAATGGTGTACAGCTTCCAACCGCTCTTAAGGTAGTAGTGGCGTAAAACATCCTGGTAACGGACCTCGTCGATATCGCCGGTGATGTATTCCTCAACAAGCTCAAGGGTCTTCGGCCAGAAGCTCTCAGGGTCGTCATGAGGGCCGAAGTAGTTGAGGGTGTTGTCGGCCAAGCCAATATCCTTGGCGGGACGAGGTCGGTTGACGCGGTTAACCTCTTCGACGACGCTCTCCTTGCTCTCCTTAACATCTCTGAGACGGGTATAAATCGTCTGGAACACGTTGAAGAAGACGAATATGGTTTGGTTGCAGAAGAAGTTGTGCCAAGGCCGCGAGAAGAAGCCATCAGCCTTCAGTTCACCATCAGCGGTGAGGAGAGCATCGTCCCCAGTCGTGACTATAGGCTGCGGGACAATCGGCATCCAGCGATCGTTAGACACGTCGGGGCCAGTACCATCCTCGGGAGCATCGGGCATTTCTTCCTCGTTCGCTGACCCAACTTCGGGTGTCGTCTCTTTGCTGCCAGACGCCGCGCTTCCCTCCTTTTGCGCACGCGGCTTAGAGCCGTTGCGGCCAGGATCGAGCACGCCACGGAGTAAATCACCCCTTCTACCGGCACGGCGGCTGCGGCCGTTAGTCAGTTCGGTAGGGACGGCCTCTTCAGTCTCATCCTCTTCCGATACATCTTGCAGCCTCGGTAGACGACCTTCCAATTCTTCCTCGGGAATATCGAAGAATGCAGGGATGAATGTCTCGAAGAAGTCGGCAATGCGCTCCTTCTCTGGCACGCTATGCTGACCACTGCTGATAGTGTAGAGCATCATCAAACGAAGCAGCTCAACGACAACCTTCTTGTCGTTGAAGTCCCAAACCAACTGATGACGCGGGGCTTTGCCCTTCAAGCTGCGCTGGCGCCTCTGCTCCTCGGCCTTCGTCTTGATGACGTCGACAAGGTGTTTAGCTGAGAGGTTCCTCTTGTCGGTCTGCTTGACGAGGATGCCCATATGGTCGAGACTCTTGAGGTGCATGTGCTCAACTTGAGCATGCCACACCTTCTCCCATTCACGCTGTGAGAAGCGCCATTCCTCATCCTTTTGCTTCATTCTGGTCAACACAATCGGGACTACATTCAGCGGGTTGCTGAACAAGTCGTTGACGACTTCGGGACCCTTTTCACCATAAATCTTCTTGCAGACACGCTTGAAGACCGAGGTACTGTGTCCAGCCAAGGCCTGCGGCATCTGGAAGTGCTCTCTCTCCGCAGGCGACATGACGCTGATTTGCTGGGCGACAGGCTCCAAGAGTTGGATGCACTTGAGGTTTGCCTCGATATTGAAGTCGTAGTCGTGGCGTTCTTCCTCGATGCGATGCAAACCCTCTTCGAAACCGTTCTTACGATGCGCGACGAATCCGGAATCTTCGGAGGCCCAGGTTGGGTGCGACGCCCAGTCGTCGTTCAACACGGAATTGCAGAGTTCATCGCGGCCGCTGCAAGGCTTGAGACGCTCCTGATTAATGGTTAGCGAGTGCAAATAAGACAACGAGTCTGGCTGACATACCCTTTTGGGAAGAAGACGATAACTAGGCCCATAGCCTCGGCAGTTGCTCAATGACACTTTGCCGCTCGGAGGCGCGGGTCTGTTATCGACGATTTCGTCATGCGGCTCGTACTTGAGGAACGCCTTCCAGAAACCTAACAGCTCGGGATTTGCGGCAAAGAAGACGCTGCCCTTGTGAAACACTGTGTTGCGGTCGATGATGGATTGACTGAACAAGTTGCAGACTTTGAGAAACTCGTTGAAAGACGTCTTGTTGCTGAGGTACTTCTTAACCTTTTCGAAGAAGGCGATCTCATCAGAGTTCGAGGTGGTCGACGCGGGAGGTCCCAAAGGCTCTGGCAATATCGGCGTCAGTGTCGGCTCAACCGCGGGGGCATCGGAAGCCAGCGCCTTGTTGTGAGACATCTTGGTTCGCTTGTTGTTGACGGCCGCAGGGGGAGGAGCGCCAGTAACAGCTCGGTTGGCTGAGACAGCAGCCTCCACGATGGGCGGCGCAGGAACGGGCGTCTGCTTGTCAGTTCTAGGTCGCTTCTTGTTGTTCTCCTTGGAGGCACTTGGGGGAGCAAAGCTTCCCAAGGGAGGCATCTTCTGGCCGCTCATAGTCGGCTGAGGTGTTTGGTTAGGGCCAGGGCCAGGCGGAAGCTCATCGCCAGGCCGTCCGGGTGTTCCCTTTCCTCCTTGTCCAGCAGATTCGGGCAAGAACTGCTTGAAATCTTCGAGTAGGTCAGGTGCAGTGTGGAACAAAGTCGTGACTTGGGCGTACACGTCCTGGATCGGCTTTTGTTCGCGCTGATAAGTCTGGAGAATTTCAAGGAATTGTTTGTAAATCTCAGGCTTATCCTGAAAGCGGTTCTGCGGCGTGGTTAGTGCGCGAGGCCTCAGACTGAAGCGGGATATTGATAGCAAGAAAAAAGTCCAGTTAGACTGACCTTGATTTTGTTCACGTAGCTGATGGCATGGTTGAACTCTACCGGCCCACGGCGCTCCAGGTTTGCCTGTTGTTGTTGCTGGTTGGTCGCGCCGTTCAGATTTGCGGGTCCCGTTACCGGAGTAGGGGTCTGCGCATTGCGAGGAGGCTGCTGCGCGTTGTTCGCGTGGGCAGCGCCTTGCGCCGGAGGACCACGCTGCTGACTTCCACCAGGACCCTCGAAAGGCGCGACGTGACCCTGGTTCATAAACGCAGGCGTACTAAAGTTCGCTTCAGGGCTCTCGATGCTGTGTTGCGGCTGCTGGGGCGGCGGTTGTTGTTGCTGTTGCTGCTGCTGAGGCTGTTGCTGCTGCTGTTGCCAATTGTTTCCACGCTGAGGAAAGAGCGGCTGAGAAGCACCGTTAGGGT